AAGATAGATTCCTGATGGGCTGGTATCCCTTCCACTTCTAAATGAGAGTCGTTTCAGATGCCAGCCTTCTCTTGATGTTGTGTCCTGAGATACCATGCTAAGACAGTGAATATGTCCAGTGTGCTTGAACCCCATACTCTTCTGTCCCTTTGGTGTCTTCACTGGGGGGGGTCTCTACATTTAGATGCTATGTACTGTACTGATGCTTGAGTTTCCTGCTGTAACACAAGGACCTGCTTGTTGGGGTTTCTGTCCTGCCTGGTTCCCACAGTTGTTAGGTCCCAAAGAAAATCACACAGAGGTCTCCATAAATTATAAACTGATTGGCCAATTAACTCAGGCTTCGTATTAGCTCTTATAATTTATATTAACTCATTATTCTTATCTATGTTAGCCACATGGCTCAGTTCCTTTTTCAGCGGGGCAGGTCACATCCTGCTTCTTAGGTGATCTGGGCAGGACTGCGGAGGAAGCTTCCTTCTTCCCAGAATACTCCTGTTCTCATTGTCCTGCCTCCACTTCCTGTCTGGTTGTCCCACCTGACTACTGGCCAATCAGCGTTTATTTAGAACATGATTGACAGAATACAGACAATTCTCCCACACCATCCTGCTCTCCCTGTAGATCTCACAAGAGCAGTGGCATTTCCTGCAGATTGGGACGATGTGCTGTGGGTGTGGGCTATGCTCGGTCCTTAGTCCTCTAGACTTGTCAATTATATACAGGATGAGGGGCTGTGGTCCCTTGAACATGGGGTATCTGTCTCTTTCCACATTTCTCTCTGCTATTGCTCTGGGGATGCCCTGGAAACTGTCTCCACCCAACTCCTACTCAAGCCTAGTTGAACTCTGTCTACTCTCTTAGTGTTTTCCGCCCATATTCTCAGGTTTCAGTATTCAATGAAGTTTGACCAGAGGAGGGTTGTGTATTGAGCAAGATATACAGCTTCCTAGATAATCTCTGGGAAAACTGTTTCTATGTGCAATAATTTGGCCTTGACAGTAGATGACCATCAACGGGTTGCTAATTTATATTTGGGAGTCGAATGGGATGTCCCTGGGTGTTCATCTATCATTCTTAGCCTCCATTCAGTCAAAGAAAGCACCATGTCCTCTTCTTGCCTTAACCTGAATTGCTGCTTCTGTATTATGGAGTGCTTCCCACAGAAAGTCACTAACTGAGGACCTCAGAATCACATGTCCCTCACAGACTCATCCTCCTGCCCCAGCTCCTCCTGTAATGTTGGGCTGGTAATGACTTTTATTGCAAGAACTGCTTACCGGTGTCCTGGACTTGGAAGATGTCCCATGTTGCACACATCAGTAGTGTGCTCGGTCCTTCCTGTCGAGGGTTGAGGACAGGTGAAGACACAGGCTGTCCTGGAGAGGGACTTCAGCCTCCTGCTTAATCCAGATCAGTCACCTCCAACCCTCTGTGCATGTGTTCATGTTGGGGCAAGTGTGTACATGTGTATGTTGGAGACCAGAGGTCAACATCAGGTATCTTTCTTCATTGTTTCCCACCTTACTTGCTTTTTGGGGGGAGGAAGGGCAGGGTTTCTCTGGATCCTTGATTGTCTTGGAACTTGCTCTGTAGACCAGACTGGCCTTGAGCTCACAGAGTTCCCCCTGCCTCTGCCTCCTGAGTGCTGAGAGTAAAGGCGTGTGCCACTAACACCCGACTCCCACCTTACTTTTTGAGACAGAGTCTCAACTGAACCTGTAACTACACCAGTTTAGCTAGACTGATCAGCCAGCAAGCCTCTGGGATCTTCCTTTCTCCAACTCCCCAGTATTGCATCATGCCCAGCTTCTCTATGGGAGCTAGGAATCCAAACTCAGGTCTCATGTTTGCATATCCAGCAACTGAGCCTTCCCGGAGACTATCAGCCATCTCCAATCTTTGTCTTCTACGTGGGGCTTAAGAAAAGGGCTACACAAAGGATGCTGTCACAGGTCCCTGCCTGTCACCTATCTTTAGGTCACCTTGATGTTCCTAATTCCACCCTAGTCAAACGCCCACTTTTGGGGACACAAAGATTCATAAACCTGGTCAAGTCTAATAAGTGACATTAGCTACCTAATTGTGGCCTTGGGCCCATAGAGGAGGACAAAGATGCTGATGAAGTCAATTTGTGAAATGAGACCCTCAAGACTATTCCCTTGTCTTTATTTGCCCAGAAGAAGTTCAATCTGATGTCTTGTCCACAGTCTTCCACACTGGCATTCACAACAGAGTCCTAAAGCCCCTGGATCTGCAGTCTGGACAGCCTAGCCCTGTCTCCAACCTCATTCCAAAGCAGCACCTATCAGAGGATTTTGATTGTCACCCTCAGGAAGAAATGGGTTCTGTGCTATGTCCTGGAAATATAGCCACAAAATAAAAATTGACAGTTTCCAGGAAAACATACCTTCATTGCTGAAATTAATTGTGATGTGTCGTTTTCTGTCCTACTAAGAAGGAATGGGGAGGGAAAGAAGGAAGGAAGGAAGGAAGGAAGGAAGGAAGGAAGGAAGGAAGGAA